AAATGGTATGGGCTTTCTGTAATAGCTTTTACCATAGTAGACAAACATTTCTATATTTTATGCCATTTCTAGTCTTGGTTACCCAATTATTTAAAGACCGTTCTTTATTGACTGCTTGGTGTTAGAGAACAAAAGTCTCTAATAATTATCATAGTGGGAAAAGTTGAATTTGTTTTTAGCTATCCCCAAATGGAATTTAAATCATTATGTACTATTTGAGAAAGGTATTTCCAAAATTATCCCTGATTTCTCATAGGTGTCACAGAAAAAATGGATCTTCTAAAGAGATGCGGAGAAGGAGGGAGTTGGTCTTTCCTATTAGCTTAGGGAGGGCATTCCATGAGCTATGGGCATCACAGATAAAGGTGTAGAGATGTTTGTGAAAATATCAGGCAGATGGATGTTGAAGGCTGGCAGCACGGATAGACTGGAGCAATGGGAGGGTGTCATGAAGAATCTTGAAAGTGAGAGGAAGCAACTTTAACTTGATGTGGTGGAGAAGGGAGAGCTAGTGAAGGGAGAGGTAATATGAGAGTAAGGAAAGTTGGTGTCAGGGAGAGCAGACAAGAGGAGGTTAAAGTAATCAAAACATAACTGATAAGAGCATCAACGAGTATTTTAGCAGTGTGGACCAATAGAAAAGGTCAGACTTTGGAATGTTATGGTGGAAGAAGCAGTGTTATTTGATTGTGTTCTGGATGTGTGGAGCAAAGGAGAGGGAGGAGGGTCAAAGTTGACCTCCAGATTATTGGACTGAGTGACAGGGAGCATGGTGGTGGTGTCAAAAGTGGCAGAGAAGGGCAAGAGTGGGGAAGGCCTGAGAGGAACGTTAAGGAGTTAACACGGCGAAAATGTAAATTTAAGCTAACAACAAGACATCTAAGAGATATCAGACTTGCAGAAATGCAGGTTTGTTCAAGGAGACAGATTAGGAGCAAAAAGGCAGTTTTGTGAGTCTTCGATGGTCAAAGGTGGTGCTAAAAACTGTGTGACTATATTGTTGCCTGAAGAAGCTAAATATGATTGATCTTTCCTACCACTCTCTTTGCTCTACAAAATGCTGCCACAACGTTGGCCAAATCTACTAGAGGTGAGCATGCTCCAAGATCCATACTTTTTGGAAGTCATTCAGGACCCTAATTTAAAAACAAAGTCAAACACAAAACCTAATTATTAATCTGAAGATCTGTGATGATTTAACTGTTGAGTGTTTCCTGCCAATATCCTTACTGGATCAGTATGGTGCGCTCTGCTCCCATTTGATTATATTTGCAGTGTCAGTAACTGCCAGGGGGAGGTAGAAGTACAAAATACCTTACTTACACAGATTGGCTCTGTGCTCACATGAATTAAAGTCTTCACATACAAAATGTAGTCGGGGGGAGGGGGGGAGTGTTGATTAAAATATGCCGCAGGAGGTAATGTTTATCTAAACAAACAATGCTGGTGATTAGAAAGCTAATCAGGATATAGTTTATTCCAGAATGCATGACCAGTGTCTATAGTTATTCTTTATACCATAGTTTATTTGGGGATTAGGAATATTTTGCATTCATTCCCATCAAACAGTAAAAAGATGGAGCATAACAGAGTTCAAGGTGCCAAATGGAACATTAATAAATAAATGTGAGCATCTGGCATACACATATTTTCTGATTGTTGTCTGAAATCCTATACCATACATTTTTTCGGTATGCAAGACATGAAACATCTTTCAACACACAAAGGGCTCGGTTTGCAATAAAATACACAGGAAACACTGTTTGCATTATTGTTACAGCCTTATTGGTCCTGGGATATGGGAGGGACAGTGTGGGTGAAGTAATATCTTTTATTGGACCAATTTCTGTTGGAGAGACAAGCGTCCGAGCTACACAGAGCTCGTCTCTGTCACCAACAGAAGTTGATCCAATAAAAGATATTATCTGATCCACCTTGTACATTTCTTAGAAAACACTGGCTTTTTTCACCCCATTGATTGAATATATTCTTTAAAAAACAGTCAAAAGTGAGCTTTGAACTTTTAGGCCTCATTAAGAAGGTTTCTGTATATTCCTTGCCCATGTAATTGATAGAGTAAATTTAGAACTAGCACATAAGGACATTAGCAAGAATGATCTACTTGCATGAACTGGTTTCCACTAACAGAGCACAGAGGAATGTGCCCCTTTCCCAGCCTGCTATGAGTATGTGTGACTCATGTAATTGAAGAGAAAAGGGTAGAGGTTTCAGAGCATAAATATGACTTCACAGGAGACAGTATACCTGCACGAAAATATTTTTCTTTTCAATAAAATCTAAAAGCAATACATATAATAGCAGTCTGCCTGTATTTTTAATGTGGATTTAAATTAAACAGGAAAACATTTTAGGAGGGGAAATTAATTTGATTCATAAGGAAAATCACAGGGCGTAACACAGTTCACAGAATTTAAGACCAGAAAGGGCTATTAGATCATCTATCTGATCTCCTGTGTATCACAAGCATTAAACTTCACCCCAGGTACTCCTATATTAAGACCAAAGTCTTTAGTTAGACCACAGGCAGAGAACAGGAGGGAGACCAAGCTGTCACCAGAGTCTGACTCCCACGCAATGGCAAGGAATTGACTAGGTGAGACACGCCCAGATGATCCCAGCAGGAGAACCACATCTTCTGCTTCAGAGGAAGGCGATAAACCCCCAAGGTCCTTGCCAGTCAGACCTGGAAGAAAATTCCTTCTTGACCTCAAACCTGGTGATCAGTTAGACACTGAGCAAATGAGCAAGACACACCAACCAACCATCAAGAAAGGGTTCTGTGTTTCACTTCAGAGCACTGGTCCTCCCTGTCTGATATCCCATCTCCTCATGTGGCCAATTTCTGATGCTTCAGAGGAAGGTGGAAAACAAACAAAACATCACCAAACCAGAATACATGTGGCCAACTGTGCACTGTCAAATGATATTACTTTAGGTAGGTAATGAAGCATGTGTGGTTTATAAAACATATTCTCAATCAAAAGTACAGTAGAACCTCGGAGAACATAAGAATGGCCATACTGGGTTAGACCAAAGGTCCATCCAGCCCAGTATCCTGTCTACCGACAGTGGCCAATGCCAAGTGCCCCAGAGGGAGTGAACCTAACAGGCAATGATCAAGTGATCTCTCTCCTGCCATCCATCTCCACCCTCTGACAGACAGAGACTAGGGACACCATTCCTTACCCATCCTGGCTAATAGCCACGAATGGACTTAACCTACATGAATTTATCTAGTTTTTAAACCCTGTTATAGTCCTAGCCGTACAACCTCCTCAGGCAAGGAGTTCCACAGGTTGACTGTGCACTGTGTGAAGAAGAACTTCCTTTTATTTGTTTTAAACCTGCTGCCCATTAATTTCATTTGGTGGCCTCTACTTCTTATATTATGTGAACATATCAGTAACTTTCCTTATTCACTTTCTCCACACCACTCATGATTTTATATACCTCTATCATATCCCCCCTTAGTCTCCTCTTTTCCAAGCTGAAAAGTCCTAGCCTCTTTGATCTCACCTCATATGGGACCCGTTCCAAACCCCTAATCATTTTACTTGCTCTTCTCTGAACCTTTTCTAGTGCCAGTATATCTTTTCTGAGATAAGGAGACCACATCTGTACGCTGTATTCAAGATGTGGGTGTACCATGGATTTATATAAGGGCAATAAGATATTCTCCGTCTTATTCTCTATCCCTTTTTTAATGATTCCTAACATCCCGTTTGCTTTTTTGACTGCTGCTGCACACTGTGTGGACGTCTTCAGAGAACTATCCACAATGACTCCAAGATCTTTCTCCTGATTAGTTGTAGCTAAATTAGCCCCCATCATATTGTATGTATAGTTGGGGTTATTTTTTCCAAAGTGTATTACTTTACATTTATCCACATTAAATTTCATTTGCCATTTTGTTGCCCAATCACTTAGTTTTTTGAGATCTTTTTGAAGTCCTTCACAGTCTGTTTTGGTCTTCACGATCTTGAGCAGTTTAGCATTATCTGCAAACTTTGCCATCTCACTGTTTACCCCTTTCTCCAGATCATTTATGAATAAGTTGAATAGGATTGGTCCTAGGACTGACCCTTGGGGAACACCACTAGTTACCCCTCTCCATTCTGAAAATTTACCATTTAGTCCTACCCTTTGTTCCCTGTCTTTTAAGCAGTTCTCAGTCCATGAGAGTATCTTCCCTCTTATCCCATGACAACTTAATTTACGTAAGAGCCTTTGGTGAGAGACCTTGTCAAAGGCTTTGTGGAAATCTAAGTACACTATGTCCACTGGGTCCCCCTTGTCCACATGTTTGTTGACCCCTTCAAAGAACTGTAATAGATTAGTAAGACATGATTTACGAACACGGGAGTTAAGAACTGACGGGTTTCAGAGTAGCAGCCGTGTTAGTCTGTATTCGCAAAAAGAAAAGGAGTACTTGTGGCACCTTAGAGACTAACCAATTTATTTGAGCATAAGCTTTCGTGAGCTACAGCTCACTTAATCGGATGCATCTGGTGAACTGACTGGTCAACCACAGACCTCATTTGTAACGAAAAGTACACAATCAGGCTGCAACGGAGAAAAAAAACAACAACAAAACAAACAAACAAATGCAATACTTTACTTGTCAAGTGTAAACTACAAAAAAAATAAAGCGAAAGTTAAAGAAATAAAAAAAGATTTGACAAGGTAAGGAAACTCTGTGCTTGTTTCATTTTAATTAAGATGGTTAAAAGCAGCATTTTTCTTCTGCATAGTGAAGTTTCAAAGCTGTATTAGGTCAATGTTCAGTTGTAAACTTTTGAAAGAACAACTATAATGTTTCGTTCAGAGTCACAAACGTTTCAGAGTTATGAACAACCTCCATTCTCGAGGTGTTCATAACTCTGAGGTTCTACTGTCTTTGTATTAGAAAGTTCATTTATGTAACTGTCCAAGTTGTTTGTAATGTTTATAAATGGTGGATGCTTTTTATTTTCTTTCAGATGCTTTATTCCAAATGTCTATGCTGCCCTCTTCACTGCTGCTCTCGTACCATTAATGTGCCTGGTGGTGGTATTTGTGGTATTCATCCATGCCTACCAAGTGACTCCCCAGTGGAAAGCATATGATGATATTTTCAGAGGAAGAACCAATGCTGCAGGTAGGAGACATGGGAGGATTCCATGAAGGCAAATAAAAACATTGAAGGCAATTCTAACTTAAAGTGGAATTCAGTCTAGTGCAGAGTACCTGTATAGAAATCCTGATTCAGTTAAGTTCTTATGCACATACATAAGTTTAGGCACATTAGTCGTCCCTTTGAAGTCAGTGAACTATACTTCCATGATTAAAGTTATGCACATGCTTTGTATCTTGCTGAATTGGAGACAAAGGCCATTGCACTACTTCAACTTTTAATATGGTCTTGAGCAAAATATAGGATATTGTGTGGGGTCTCTGCACTAAAGTGAACATCATCCTTTAGGAATAAGGAGTTGATTGTGTTTATTTATGGTTTAGAGTTACTCCTTGTTTTGAAATTTCAGGTACTAGTCCTAAGTAAATGAAGAAAAGTTCTGCACATAAGAAACATGCTTAGTTAAAAAAAAAATCTGTCTCAAGCACAGCAGGGATGGGTATTGATTGGTCTTTCCTGTTAGAATGGTTATTAATAAAATAGTGTTCACTAAACCAAATTCTAATGTCATCTTCAGTAAGTTAGGCCAACACTTTAATAATAGGGTACTGTGTGGATGACTAAAAGGAACTGTTTTCTCTTCATAGTGTCTTTGGATCAAATTTAGCTATGGTGTAAAGAGGTGCAATTCCATAGGCCAAGGCTGAATTTGGCTGTTAGGTTTTATAAACTGTGAAATGGTTCTTGAATCAGTTTTTATATGTAAAGAGAGTTTCATCTATCTATAGAAAAAATAAGTTGAATAAAAAAGAGGAAGTGAGTCACTACCAAATTCATTTCACAAGTCCAGGATATGACACTATGCAAATACAGTATATAAAAGGTACCTTTGTTAGATTCCAGTACTAAAAACTGCAGTGATTTAGTTTTAAAACCTTAACTAAATAAATAACTATTTACTAATTAGACAGATATTATTATATGTATTGTATATGTGCTGGCATGTCACAGCATCCATTCGAAATATATCTTTTGCAGTGCAAAAATAAAATATCAAGTATATGGGGTCTGGGAATTTCCCCAAAGTTGAATTTGTCCTTCACTGGTAAAGTACCAAATTAGCTAACAGGAATATATGTTTGTATTAGATCCAAATGACACAATATAACAGTTTGTTTTATCTGTACTTAGCATTACATGGCTTGTTTGCACTTTGTTCTCTACTTATCCTCCGGAGATAGAAAAGGCAATGCCTGCAGCCTACCTAAAAGTGGCATAGCACACTCTGTGACAAAGAATGATTCATTTATTCAGTGGTGAATAATACTGTAAGTTCAGTTACAAGGAATCCTTTTTCATATTTCAAAGATATTTTGATCCACCATCTTACTCTTCAATGGGTTGTGTATGAAGATATTTGGTGAATCTCCTGTACATGAAAGCCCTGGAGGCTTAAGTCTTTTGTCTAATTAGAAAGCAAAGTACAACACATTCACAAGTAATGCATGCTTCCCTACTCTGACCAGCTCATGAATCTCAATGTAGGCCAGAACTGGAAGTTCAGCCGCTACATCCACTTCATCCTTAATCTTTTAACTAGCATCCTTGCTGCCAGTCTCAGTAACGATAGATTTTGTGATGTAGACACTAATTCTCTAGGAAGTGGGCTGAGATCCCCAGTTTTCACACAGATCACTCACTGAACTGTCAGGTATAATGACATTTAGGCCTAGACTTGTAATAAAATCAGTGCAGGCACAAAGATTCACCCTTGCAGAGTGTATTGTGGGATTGGGCTCTTTGTCACTGTGTACTGAGCCTGGATTCAGATCTACAGCTTTGAGATGAAAGTCTGATCATTAATCCTTTTCCATCTGTTCTTGTGAATTTTAATTTTGTATTTGTAATATTAGAATTGCTAATCTGTTGCATTTTGAAATGAGGTGTAAAACATTTGGTTCATTCATGTAAGATGGGAAAACCAGATCAGATGTAAAACTCACTGGCCTACTTAACTACTGTAACTTTCAATCCTGTTTGCACAGAACTAGTGGAGTCAGTCCTATCCACTGTCTAGGTGTCATTAAGGAAAGACAATACTTAGGCAATAACATACATAAAGTCAGCAAGGAGGATGGCAGAAAATATTAACAGTAACCATGCCTGGGTGAATCAAAGGCATGAACTAGTAGATATGAACAAAGGCATAGTTAACTTAGTATGGGTTGTCAGTGCTTTGTTGTAAGCCAGTACAAAAGTAGAGTGGAAAGGGCATTGTGACGTGTCTGGAGAAAATGAAGTTGTGAAGAAAGCACAAATGAAATGTCAATAAGAGCTTCTTTTTATCAGGAAAAGAGGGTGAACCTTCCAGTTGTCATATATCATCCAGGGAAATTGGCCTTTAATTATCTTAGGATTTCTGCAAGGAAAATATTACACGCAAGTTGCTTTCTAGTATGGTTGGCAATATTTATAGCTTTTACAAGGGTAATATCTAATTATTAGTATATTCAGAATGTAATCTCCTCGAGATAGGGGGCCTGTCATCTCACTTGCCTGTGAAATACACTGAACACATATGGCACCATATACATAATAAACAATAGGCTTTTTGACTGTCTTGTCCAATATTTCTTTACTGTCACATGAGAAGAGGCTAGATCACTGAACCTTCTCATGGGAATATACATTGTGTTTTAAGGCCTACTATACTTTTATTTAAAGTATGGCTTTCCACTGTATTTTATTTTACATTTGCGTAATCAAAAAGTGAATGAAGGAACTGATTATTTTAAGAGAACTGTCTGATGTCTCGAGGTAGTCCTCTCTATGAAGAGGGTACAAAGTGTCGTGAGAGACATCATGATTCATGATCATGTTTAAAGAACAGAACTGTGCAAATACAGAAGAAAAGTATTTGCAAATATACTAGGATATAAAAACTGATGATTCACTTTGCTGGTATTTGTGAACTCTTTTTTTTTCATGTTGATTCCAGTGAGCAAAGAATGTTTGCAGAAAGCAAAAGTGTCACAAATTCTCATTTATGTACGCATTTGCACACAAATATTCATATAAGTATACACTCGCAGAACTGTTTATGTGGTCATCTTGAAAGTTGTTCGGGAATCATTCAGTTAGAAAGTTGTAAATATAACATGCGTCTATTGATATAGACCAATTACCAATGTGAATAGTGAAAAACGAATATTCACAGCAATTGTTTCACAAACAATCCACAGGCTAAATATTTTTCACACAATTTGCTGAATTATTTATTTGTTTTGAGAGCACTTCTTGTCTAAGTTTTGCCTCACCTACTCTCTTTGGATCTTAGTGTAGTTTATGGGAAAAGCTCAGACATTCTACTTTATTCTTTAAACTACAATGGGTTTGTCCCTAAAGTGCTGGATTCTATGGTCTTTTCTTGAACAGAACTTTCATCAACTTCAATAGGAGTTTTGCTGAATGAAGTCGGAACGGCATAATTTGTCCCAAAATACCATTTACACCACTGGAAACTTTCAAAATAATCAGAGCTCTAGGTGGCTAACCTAAGCTAGAAATGTGAGTCCAAAAAAGTTTCACATAGTCTCTTTTCCCAGAGATTTGGAAGCATAACTTTTAAAGGAGCTTTAACTTGTACAACTGTCTCTTTCACAGCATATCAGCCCATGTCTCCCTGAAAGGGCAAAATTCTCCCCTTGGATACGAATGGAAGTATTGTACTTCACTATAGGTGTGGATAAATTATTATCAATGGCAAAAGGGGTTCCCACATGTTCTGGGTAGTGAGCACAGAATAACAACATTGGATATTATCATATGGATCTCAGAGGAAAATTGCACCCTAACTCAGCTTCAGGGATAACATGTTTTCACATGAATGAATTCCTTAGGCAGTTAGAAATAGGAATAGTTCTTTAGGCTATTTCCCAACTGTGATAGGGAATAAATATAGGTTGTTTTCAAATTAAACATTCAGGTTTTTATCTTTCCATTTATTTTTCTTCAATGTCCATTTTTACTGTAGACTGGGTAAATTCTGCAATCTTTGGGCATGTTTGAGTTCTCCTACATCCTTGTGCCAGCATCACAGGTCACCAGAGCAAGGCAAGACATGGTTTCACACTCCTGTTTCACTGATTTTGGAGACATTGCTTTTTTCAAAGGCACAAAGCAACATGTAGAGGTCATTGCTCTCTTCCCACCTTATGGTTTTTCTAGGGGGCAAAGGAGGACTGGAATTGATTGTCGTCGTCCTACTTGCCAAATGAAGATATGAACACTAAGCATCATTGCTACATGATAGCATCTACATTGCCATATGTTGTATCACATGGCATTGGAGGTAGCTGGCGTCAGGTCAAGGAGAGAGGGGGGCACAGGAGGGTCAATTTTTTATTATTTTGGGGAAGAATGAGTGTCTGAACTAGTCATGAAAAGGAGAATGCTATGAAGGAAAAGGCTAGTTTACAAGAATGTATTTCAGAGTAGCAGCCGTTTTAGTCTGTATTCTCAAAAAGAAAAGGAGGACTTGTGGCACCTTAGAGACTAACCAATTTATTTGAGCATGAGCTACAGCTCACTTCATTGGATGCATTTGTTATCTAAGCAAATCAGAACTTTTTGAAGGTGTAAATTTGGTTTTGCCTAGAAAGAATATTTGCGGAAGGTGAACACAAAGATGATATGGGCACAGTTTTGAAGCTCATTCATTTGAATTTCTACTATCTAAAAATGTTTTTCAGTATTAACCCAGCTCTACACATTCACTTTAAACATACAGCTCTTCACGGCTTGCTAAGCAAAAGTCTTTGCAGTTTTTACTAAACTTGTGTCTCTAGTTAGCCAATGAAATTCACAGTGTGTGAATACCACTGTCCCTCCAGACCACCTAGGAATAGAGTATCTGAAAAGTTAATCCAGATTCTGCAGTGGGTCTTCAACTCTAGCCAAGAACAATTAAGAGAAATTAGACTCTCACTGCCGGTTCAACAACCTAAAGGGGGGAAAGCACAACA